TATTATTTAATAATTACAGATCTAGCAGAGGTATAATTTTTGTATATTTTTTGGTTGTATCACATTATGCGGATTGCATTTGTTCTTACTAAGTGAATTACTGATAACAAAAAAATTGGGGTCAATAACAGAATTAACTTGAAATTGGACATTGTTTCCTTTCAAATTTTGGAGTGTGCTGTTTGGTGGTGTGGCAAATAAATTGGAATATATATGGTCCTCAGTTTATTTGCCTCCTAGCATATGAGATACTTGTTCTCCTATAAATTTGAATTGTTTATGTTCTTGTAACAAATGTTTGTTTGTCTTATTTAATAGTGTGCTACGAAAAATTTCTTGGGTTTGTTTGGCTGCAGTACTCTTCACTCATGCATTAAAAACACTGCATAGAAACTGGGATTGGGAGTCAGAGTACACATTGTTTATGTCAGCTTTAAAGGTACTGTATTCTGTTTGAAAAGGGTAATGGAAAGTTTGTGTTACTGTTCTCAAAAAGCTGCAGTAGAGCATGGTAAAAATGGAGAGAAATTATGCTTGTTTTCCCACCTTTATTTCTACGTTGACAGTATTACCGTCTACTTAGTTGCTTTTGGGAATGCTTTAAAAGTAGAATGATGCACACATGGGAATTCTTGTGCAAGAAATGGATGACAATTTTTTCTTGCGTTAAAGCAGTTGAATGTATTCTCTTATCTGAATGGAAGCACAATATGGTTCACTAAAATAATTGCAAAATGTTTGATGCACGGAATAGTTTCCTCAGTGTGCATATGGCGTGATAGGGTAGTTTGTACAACATCTCATAATTATAATGAATTTTGAAATGTTTGGTATTTCTAGGCACAAATAACTAAAATGAATGTTAAGCAACAAGTTCAATGTAATAATTCTGTATGCAGTGGTTTGTTATTCTTTACCTATAGCAGTTTGATGAAATCTGTAATTTTTTCGCATTTTTACATCTTTCAAACATTGTTAGAAGAAAATCAGTTGTTGGGTAATTTCAGCTTAATACCGTATGTATTAGTATCTCTTTTTTTCTGGTTTTAGGTAAATAAGAACAATGCAAAGCTATGGAACAATGTGGGGCATGCATTAGAAAATGAGAAGAATTTTGAAAGAGCTCTGCAGTTCTTCATACAAGCCACGCAAGTGCAACCAGGTAAAAGCTTTCACTATTTGCCATTGAATGTCATCTCTGCTTTCCTAGTGTTTCAATATGCTTAACTTACTTAATACAATCTTCTCAGTTATATCTTTTTCCCCAGCTGAACATGAAACAGTGTCATACACTAAGTTAGTTGATCCATAGTTTTTGGAAATAAACTCAAAAACAGTCCTGCAGAAAAGTTTCTGTGTGTAAAAACATGCAAAGACTTTCCATTTAAAACTATTATTTGGATGACATTCTTTCTGAATTAACTTAAACTGTAATTTCTTATGAAACTTAATTATCATTTGATTTTCTTATTTAAAACTAAGGAGGTGTATAAAAAATTTCATATCTAGAGTGTCAAAATCCATGTTTACTGTTTTACATACTGTTGCAAAAGAAGCTTTAGGTAGTACTGGACAACCTTTCCTTTTTCCTTTTAGAAGCCTAATAAAGAACCTTAATTTATGTGCCTCTACTATAGCAAGAGATTAAAAATAGATACGTGGAAGTACGATCTCAATTTTTTTACATCGCCTACTTAACTTTATATTCCATCTTTGGTTCATGGCTAAATTATTAGCTTCATAATTAAGATGAAAACTAATACAGAATTGTGTGGTGGTGGTGGTAGTGTTTATGCAGTACCTGTACTTCACGCTACTCTGAAGGCATAGGTAATTATTTTGATGATACTCAGTGCATGGACGTATTTGAAATTTCATTCTTTTCTTTATTAAGATGATATCGGTGCCCACATGAATGTAGGAAGAACTTACAAAAACTTAAACAAAACTAAAGAAGCTGAAGAATCATACATGATTGCGAAATCATTGATGCCTCAGGTAATTAGTAACTTTATCTTCCACCACAGGAGGGAACTCTTTCAGATCTATACTCATGATACAGTTTTCATATTTTTCCTGAAGCTCTGTGTTGCTGTATACTTTAAAGGTGTTAGGGTTTGTTTTGTTTTTAAACCTATCTATTAAAAGAGTAGGTTCTATACAATCATGGCTGTGAAAAAAGGCTAACTTAGATCTTCTGTGTTTAAAACTATTTTAAGTTATCTTTTGTACTGCTGTGGGGCTTTCTTTTTGCTGAAATTGAGGATATAAAAGAAAGCAGTAGTTAAAAATGTACACCTACAGTTTCTAGACACAGGGGATTTATTTTCACTTGCAGCTAATTCATTGATGACTGAGTTTCTGAGCCCTCAAGAGAAGCTTAAGTGCAGCATTGGATGTGGGAGGTCACCGCAGCAGTAACAAAAAAAATCTTTGCTTGAACATACTTTTAAAAACATGTGCTTTGTTACCTTTAACATCTGTTAAGTTATATTTATACCTAACAAATACTACTTATTCTAGCTCTTTAGGAGAAAATGAGAGGAATATTTTGGAGAACATACAAAGGTAAAAAAAGCTATGGGTAAAATGAGGCTGACAACAAAAAACAGTCCTTTTAATAGCAGTTTTAATAGCATTAAAAAGTTGGGTTTTTTTCTTGTGAAACAGTGTAAAGATTCTAGATGGATTAAGTATAACCAGTACAATAGTTGCAATGTCATAGCATTTTCATCTTTCATGACTACTTTTCATCTGCTACATCAGTGGCCAATAAAATGTTACACTTATCTTAGGCTGGATGGTTAAAAAAAGGAATGAAAACCATAGAATTTCAGTTTAGGCTTTCTACATGCAAAACTTTATGAAATATTCTTTGAAAGGTCTGGTTGGTTTCTTATGGCTATCTGCATGAGCTTAATTAACTCATATCTTAAATATGATATAAAAGTAATCTAATCTACAATTAAAAAAGAAAAAAAAATCTGTTTATATTTTGGTATGTTCTTCTGGGAAAGAAGAATTGCTGTTTCTAATCACTAAAAGCCTATATGCTAATTTCCAGTGATACCCTAAAACAAATGTGGCAGATTGAAGAGAAGATCTATGCAGATTGTCTTTCATATTTCTACTCATCTGTCTTTGGTACTTACCTTCTTTTTGACAGATTATTCCAGGTAAAAAGTATGCTGCAAGAGTTGCTCCTAACCATCTGAATGTGTATATCAATCTTGCAAACTTAATTCGAGCAAATGAATCTCGCCTTGAAGAAGCGGATCAATTGTATCGACAAGCAATTAGTATGAGGCCAGATTTCAAGCAGGCTTACATCAGCAGGTACCTTTTCTAATTTTAGAGATATCTATTCTTGAGTAAACATTTGTGTGTTATTTGTATTTTGTTGTGAACGGTATTTAGTTCATAGAGTTGAATTAGCTGCTGGAATTGATTTATTTCCAAAGGAGAAGACGAAGATTTGGGACAATAATCAGTTTTTCCTTACAAGCCTTGTTTTTTTTAAACTCCTGCTTCAAATGATGTGTTTCCACATAGGCTGTGTATTCAATCATTGTATAGCAAGATGCTTCCATTAGATTTCTTTATGAACTTGCAACTTAAATTTCTAATCTCCTAGTTTAGTTTTGAACTGAAAAGCTTTTGGTTAGTCTGAATCACGGAGCTTTCTTTATCCTTCTTTGTTCAAAGTAGTACAGAAAATGCATGACTTAACTAAAAAGCACATAGATGTCAGCTAAATAGATAAAAGTAATGTGGCTGTGGATGTTGAGGCTATTTTGGTAGGTGTGATTCTTGCTGGGACTTGGGAGTTGCATAGATGGCTAAACTATAGCTGTTGAAATGTAATTATAAAGCCAATATCAGGAACCCTTGGTCACTTCTTTTTTTATTTTTATCCTGTATATGCATTTGTTGTACACAGACTTTGGAGACCTGAAATCTTTGGGAATGCTATGTAAAGGAGGTCCTGTATTGTTTTATGTTTTGAACAAAAAAGCCCACCCAAACCCCACTGCTACCTCACATTTACTGTCCATAGGAAGGCAAACTTTTAAAGAACCTGTCAGTTATTTTCATATTCATATGAATAAAAGTTGAAGGTTTAATGTGATTCTTCAACAGGGGAGAATTACTTTTAAAAATGAACAAACCTCTGAAAGCTAAGGAAGCTTATCTCAGAGCTCTTGAACTAGACAGAACCAACGCAGACCTGTGGTACAACTTGGCAATTGTTTACATTGAACTGAAAGATCCAACAGAAGCCCTGAAGAATTTCAACCGAGCACTAGAACTCAACCCAGTGCATAAACTGGCATTATTCAACTCAGCGCTGCTAATGCAGGAATCTGGTATGTTAGTTGTCCCTTATATAAGTATAGTGTATTTGCATGTATAGGTTTCATAGTATTTAAGGGGTTTTTAATGAACTGTTTTATTTTTGGAAAGCAGAATTTCATAGCTTTGTCAAAGAAGCCGCTGTTTACTGTAATAGTCAGCACTAATTTATTGGTAGTGTATGGAATTTGTGCAAAGTGTACACATACCTTAGCTGATCAGCATATTTAATACAAGTGCTCTTTTACAATATAATGTCATGTACATATAAAGAAGTGTTACACAGGCATCTTCAAAATTGTGTCTATATAATCTTTAAAAATCCATGTTTAGTAAAATATATGTAATATCTATGTTTTGCATTTATATTTATTTATTTCATTCTTCATTGACTAAAGAATATAGTTGACTTCTGGGGCTTTAAATCTAGCCCTAGGAAATGTGCATGTTTTCGTAGGGTCGTCTGTAATATTGCTAATTAGGATTAATTAAGTCAGGTTTTCATGAGTTTATTTTTTTTTGTATTTATAGCTTCTTAGCTATATGGGTAAGCATAAGCCTTTTGTGATTTAGGCTGTTACAAAGAGTATTTAGCAAGTAACTAGTAAGGTACAGTTCCCTTTTGTTGGGATGGTAAACTGCTGCTAAGAAAGGGATAATACGGAGTTGCTTGGAGCTGATGCAAATGGAGTATTCTCCATCTCCTGTCACATTGTAGGCTATGTAGTACAAGTGCCCTGTTTCCTGTCATTACCATTAGCTCTCTAGTATTCAGTTTTTCATACTGGAAGGTGCAGCACTGTTTCAGGAGGCGAAAAAAGGCGGGTCAGATCCCTCATCCTTCAGTAAGCCTGTGCCTGGAGTTCCTTACTAAAATGTGTTAACTGGAGTATTCAGAAAAATAGCACAGACTAGCTAGTCTAGCTATTCCTGGTATTACCAGATCAGATTAATTTACAGTAACTTTTTTAAACTTTGCAAATTAAAACATAGGAATTACAGATTTTACTGCTTTGGTGTTAGAAGATATTTTATCCTGGCTACATCTGAAGTCACCCTGTCTGATCTCCGTCTTTAAACTCTTTCAATCTACCTAAAACATAGAAATTACAGATTTTACTGCTTTGGTGTTATATTGGTGATATTTTATCCTGGCTACATCTGAAGTCACCCTGTCTGATCTCCGTCTTTAAACTCTTTCAATCTACCTTTAACAAAATGGGATCTTCCACTCAAGTTTGCCTCTGTAAGAGCTGTTTTGTCACAACTGGTGCCTTCTCTGCATTCCAGTTGCTCAACCATATGTGAAAATAACTTCTCTTAAACTTGTTGAGACACCTTTTCTATCTGTTACACCAAACCTAAATATAATTCAACAGATACTAGAATAATGGTGCTGACTTTGGCTACAAGTCAACTGTAAGTAGTTCTTTCTGTAAAGAAGGTAGATGTTATTTAGTTTTGCTGTTACATAGTGATAATAAAAAATAGCATTTTAAACCCTTTCCCTTTTACCATTGTGTTAAGAGATGTTACATTTTTATTTGTCCAAAAATTAGCATTTTATAGGCCTAGTCTAAAAATTCTTCAGAGTAAATCTAAAATTAAATGCATTTTCTGTCATTTAGGTGATGCTCGGCTTAGACCTGAAGCTAAACAAAGACTGTTACATTATGTGAAAGAAGAACCACAGGATGCAAATGGGTACTTCAATTTGGGTATGCTGGCAATGGATGACAAAAAAGATGCGGAAGCAGAGGCATGGATGAAGAAAGCCATAAGTTTACAACCAAACTTCCGAAGTGCTTTGTTCAATTTGGCTCTGCTTTATTCTCAGACATCAAAGGAATTGATGGCTTTGCCAGTCTTGGAAGACCTACTGAGATACTACCCTGATCATACCAAAGGTCTGATTTTGAAAGGAGATATCCTTATGAACCAGAAGAAGGATATTGTTGGAGCAAAAAAGTGTTTTGAAAGAATTTTGGAACTGGATCCCAACAACGTACAAGGAAAACACAATCTTTGCGTGGTTTACTTTGAAGAACGAGACTTAATAAAAGCGGAAAAATGTTTGGTTGAGACGCTAGCACTGGCACCTCATGAAGAGTATATTCAGCGTCATCTAAACATAGTTAGAAGTAAAATTGCATCACTCAGTGCTACGGAACAGTCGTCACTTCCAGCAGATGGGACTGCAACTGCAGCTGCAGAAGGAAAAAAAAAATCATTGCAAAATCTGAAAGAGGTAAAAAATGAGCAGAAAACAACCCAAACAACAGTGGATAACAATAAAGGGCACTCAAAAAATAAGAAACGAACAGAGAAAAACAATATGGACAAAGAGGCTCCCAAAAAATCTACAAAAGAAATCAAGGACATTGAAAAAAAGAGAGTTGCTGCTTTGAAAAGACTAGAAGAGATTGAACGTATATTAAATGGTGAATAGTCTCTGTCTTGTCACAACAGAATAAAGGGAGAGTACTATTTTTTATTATTGTTTAATATGTGATCCAACTGGAAAGAGGTCTCAGTGCTTTGAAAATAGAAGTAATGTTGATTGCATATCACTTAGCAAGCAGCAAAAGGCATTACAATGCTTTATATGAGAAAACTTCAACTTTTAAATATGATGTGGGGAGTGGTTGGGAATCGATAGGAGAGTGAGAATACTCTTAAATGCAGAATCCTAATAGTGAGAAAATAACAGTCATAAAAAGTACTGGTAGTCAAGGTTATTCAGTAATGCTACTTTTAAAGAATGGAAAATTAATGGGATAAGCCAGACACTGCTGTTTTCTTCCATATAAATCTGTTTGTGTTAACATTATCTATATTTCAGTTTACACATCAGTTTAAATTATTCTAGACCTCTGCTATATATGAAAAAGAGTTTTTATTTGCATTATTTGTTTCCAGAACTTAACAAAGTCATCAAAATGCCACTGGTTGCAGTATGAGAGGATGTGACAAAACACTAAATTTTTCAGTTGCACTCTGAATATGGAATGCTATACAACTTCTTAATTGTTCTTTACTTACAATGCTAATGGTTGTACTGTTTTACCTGATAGAAAACTTAAGGTGCTCTTAAGATCTTTAGACTGTGCTTTTATTTTTAAAGGAAATGTGTGGTTTTTCTTCAACTGTCAATCATCTGGTTGTTCTTAAAAAAAATTATATAAAGGTGGTTTTCTCACTTTTCCCCAGGTTCATTGAATGCTGATAAATGCACTTTTGGTATGGTAACCAGTATGCTATGCAGTAGTCCTTGTCGACTTTGTGTCAATGGATGTGGATTGACTCCTTGGTGTAGTAAATTCTTCCTTGTTTATGGCAAACTGGCTTTATTATTTCTGTAATGGGAACAGCAATTCTGTTCTTATGACTTTTTACAACACTAATATAAGCAATGTTTGCTGAAGGCAGTGTGGTAATAATTAAACCACTGAATTTAGCAATGTTTAACACAAGGAAATGTAGATAGTATCCTTCCAAATACTAAGTTCTGCTGTTTTGATACTTTGTCATGGGTGTGTGGTTTTTATTAAATACTTATTTTGACTACTAAAATACTCCCATTTACCCTTTTCCACTAATGTATCATTTTTATTTCTTACATGAAATGAAAATCTTTGCAATTTCAGTGTTGCTTTTATCCTAGTGCAATGCATATATTTTTGTTTAAATATACTACCGATTACCTAAACACAATGTTTTCCTTAATTATGAGAGAAAAAGGAAGTGTAAGAGCTGGGTTCAGTAATAACTTAATTAATCATTAAATCTAACTCTTACTCTTCATGTTTTGTGTTATTTCATGGTGTAGAAGTATTCCTTAGCAACTCTGTTTGAACTGAATCCTTTCTGTAACTGCTCAACTTTTTTGCCATTGGCAGTAATCCAGCTGTAAGATGTTATGTTTATCTCTGTGGGAGGGATCTTAAATGGTTGAAGGCCTTGCACAGACCTTTTCTTTGTTGTGTGTCATTTGTAATGTCACCACAACAATTGCTTGCATGGTAATAACTAGGGGGGAAAAAAGGTAGGTTTTTAAAAACATGATTTGTAAGCTGCAGACAGGAACAGGTATGCAGTGTGCAGCCATTCTTCATATGAAAGGTTTAAGTGCTGCCTATAGTGCAGTGTGGTGAAGTGTTCCCAGGAATCTATTAACCACATCTTGAAAATTCTGTTTTATCTTATCTGTGAGTAGCTGGATTACTTGTTGCTAAAATAGCTGGTATGCTGACCTTTATAGAAACAGTAACTTGCATACTAAGTCTTCCTCCCAAACCTTTGTTTTACAAAAGAATTGGTCATTGTTCTGGGTGATACAAAGGAACATTCATTTGAAAATGGCAGGAACTAAGTAGTAAGAAAAGGTGCTTTCTCTTTGATGGAACAGGCCAAGATTCTCCTCTCAAGACGCTCCTATGAAGTGCTCCCAGAATCCCGTTGCCACACCGCTTTCATTCGGTCTGTAAATTTAAGAGGGGAGGAAAGGCACATTCTTGATTTCTGCAGTTGAGTCTGTCCTGCTGTTCTCATCTTGACCATCCAAGTAGCTGCTCTTTAGGGACTGGCAAGGATTGTTAGATTCATTGAGGCTAAGAGGTGCCATCAGGTTTAACTAAAAAGAAATCATCAGACTACTGTAAACTGAAGAATGCTGGAGGTAATCTTTCAGTCTGTGGGCAGGTACTATGCCCCCTTTGTCTCTTTTAAAGAAGTAATAGTGAAAACAAGCATTTTAACTGATGTCAGTGTGCTGAGTTGTATTTAGCCTATAGGATTTGTCAACCACTTTTTAAAAATAAACTTTCTTGAGAAAAATTATTCAGTAAATTGAAGTGGCGTAAGTTCTGAAAAATAATCAAAATAGCATTTGCTCGTAGGAAAACTATCAGAAAAAGAATAATTTTGGCTTTGTTTGCTTGCAGATAGAACATCCTCATGCGCAAAAACTCCACAACACATACATGTCATCCCTTTTCAGAACTCTCCTTTTTACTAATACTCAAGAACTGGGAATTTCCAGGGATGGGACAAGCATACTAAGCAAAAATAATTTGTAGCCCTCTTCTCATTCAGTGCAGTTGTTTTGGTTGCTGAAGGTATTTGAATGCGTGTCTTGTGTCATCTTTGCATACATGCACGAATTGTTCAACCTTACACATACCGGTGCAGTAAGTATATTACGTGTGACACATTTGTGCGTGTAATTTCAGTGCAGACTCATGCATTTGTCAGGTTAATTTTTGAATTTTTTGCAGGGGAGTATATGCATAAAGAGTTAGAGGTGAATACATGTCAATGTAAGAATTACATCTCAGTATTGCAAGTATTCCTTATTTTTTAAGTATTACTCTTTGCATTACAGTTAAAAAAACACCATAATTCAGATCTGATTTCTTTTTTTCAGTTTGTTGGTTTTTATCAGCTCTGTTAGGGAAATAGCCAGGTATTGTGAAGCATAGGAAACACTTTTCTACAAATGAACATACACAAAGTGTCAGAGATTGGAGTCACAAGGTATTAAGAGGGATAGAAATTCTTTTCAATGTGCAGTGCGGTTTACACCTTGATTAGGCAATACTGGAACAGATAAAGTCAATAAGGAATAAACATAACAGAAGATTCCTGTGGATAGAGGCTTTCATATAAAGGAAAGCAAGAAAACATGTAACACATGGTGCCAAAGCCTTTAACTGAAGTAAATAGGAAGCTTTACATTTCTATTTCTGCTTGGTTGTGGAGACTTACTGAACTGCACCTTATTTGGGAGCATAACAGCAATTAAAAGGAAAACTACATGCTGAAATCTTACATAAGTGCATCTTGGCTTCAATCTGTGAAATGATGTCTTTGTAGCTGTAAAACCTACAGGGACTTCTCACCCAGCTCCTTATTCTCCAGTGGCAATCTGGTGTGAAGTGGATGGGCTCAGAAGATCCTTCTACTCTGAAGGAGGCACACGTATTCTTTGATTTCCAGGAGGTATGGCAGTATTGTTACCAACTTCCCCCTAAATGGATTTAAATCGCCATCAACAGTATGTTCTGTTACTCAGCATATTCACAGCAAGTTGAATTATAAGCCTGTGGGATAGGTGACCTCACGTTTAATGGGACTTTAGAGCAAAGCACTGACCTGCAACAAATGTTGATTTTCTGTTAGAGGAGTAAGCGCTCTCCTTTTGCCCAAAGCAAAAGCTGCTGAAACATTTTGGCACTGCGCACGTAGGTTGTCCAGTGCAGTATCTCTGCAGCTTTCCCTTCCTCAGCTGTTGGGTGTTCCAACACTAAGAGAGCAGATTTTTAGGCACAGTAGTTCAGCCAGCTCCTCCTTCCTGATCAGATTAATTTATTGCAAGATAAGGCTGGGCCTTGTAGCAGCAAAGCTGTTCAGATACCTGCTTCCAGAGTGTGGAGCTATGGGCTAAACATGCAGGCATTTGTTTCTTCCTGAAGTTTCCTTTGGAAAGACTCAATGGAGATCAAAACAGCTCTGGGTAGTTAGCAGTCTACCCCAAACTCTTGCAAATTTTGCATCCTGCTAAAGCACCAGATAGAGTTCCAGTTTGAGTGAGTGTACATGGCTGGGATTTACTTGCAGAGGCTCTATAATCCACCCCTGCCTGGTGAAATGTCTGGAATTGCAGCAGAATGAGCTACTCCTGTAAAGCCCTGCTTCAGCCACTGCCATGTAACCAAAATCATGCTTCTCTAACTTTCAGCCTAGAAATCCTGCTTTGCTTAGACAGAAGGCTTGAGTATGGAAAGGCTGGAAGACACCTTTCCTTTAAGCTGTCCTTCACCTCACTTCTCAGTACAAAACTTTAACACTCTTCATACAGTGTTTCATCTGATCAAGAAGTATCTGTCCCCTAAACTTCCAATATAGCTTACAAAAAGGTAAGACATTCCTTCCTAGGAACAAAATTACATAGCTTACTATGTTACATACATTACTATGCTACTTCTTTTTTAAAAAATAATCCTAGATAGATATCACATTATTTCTGTAGCATTCATGACTGGTGGTGTAGTTAGGATTCTTTGAAAACTTAAGTGCTTTCTGCAGTCTAATATTTAGTACCTGGCTACAAACCAGTGGTCCTGCATGCGGGATATATGTGTAAAATGAATATAAATAATAAAATAATTTTTTTTATACATACATCAGTCTCAAAGAAAATGAGATGATGCAGAAGAAAAAAATCAAACCCAAAACAAACCACCCCAAAACCAGAACAAAACCAAACCACCACAGAACCTTCTACATAATTATTCTGGGATGGGAACAGCATAATAAGCTGTATAACTTGCTTGAGCTAGGAAACGATTCCAGAAAAACACGATTAACCTTCCCTGGTGTCATACTTTCAAAGTTTGCTAGAAAGAGAATTGCACTCTAAAGATACTATATACTCTGAACTAAGGAATTCTGTTAAAATGTTAATATAATGTTAATAGACTCCAGCATAATACAAACAACTGTTAGCAGCTACATCTTTACTAGTATAAGAAATAGGCTATCAAAAAAAGTGAGTTAAAAGTCCCCGTTCAGCTGGTGTCTTCACCGGTGCATAGAGAGCTGTGAGTGTCTTTGTTAGATGTCCATACAGAGTCACTAACATT